TTTTCAAAAAAATTGAACTCTTAACTTATATTTAGGAATTGAAATCTCAATTTAAAATTTAAAATTTTAATTAATTTTTAAATTTAAATATTAATATTTAATAAAATAAAATTTTAAATTTTAAATTAAATTTTAATTAAATAAAATAATGTAATTTAAAATTAAAATTAAAATTTTAAGTTTTTTAAAAATTGAAAGTGATATATTTTCCCTAATCTTAAATTGCGAGGTATATATAAACTAATTTAAGAATAATAATTTTTTTTAAAAGGCACATTGTATTTTTATATATTTTATTAATACGAAGAATTATTAATGACTCGTTAGTTTCGAGTGTAAAAATTTTGATTATTTTTAAATAAGATCTTAAGATTTAATTTAATTTTAAATTAAACTGAGCCTAATATAATTTTTCGGTAGTAAAGTTTAGTGAAAAAAATTAATATAAAGTATTCCTATATTTCCGAATGTGAAGTTCGTTTGTATTCAACGTAAATGCCAACATTAGCGTAAAGGCCAACATTTTCAAAGAAGGCGCAGTAATTTCAGCAATCATATTACATATTAATGATCATTTTAATTATTTGCAATTTTTCTTCTTTTTTAACATATAAAATAAAAGTCCTTGAAGGTTGACTTTGACTAAACAATATTGCACTCACTCAGTTTCAAATTATATATATAAAAAAAATTGTTTTATTTTTTGGATGTATCTTTTGCATTTTTTATAGTATATAAATGATAATTAATTTTTTTCTTTATGTAATTGTTTTATAAAAAATATTTTCAAGTGTCATTCATTTATCATAAAAAAATAATACTTAAAAATACATAAAAAAATAAAGTTTAAATTCTTAATTTAATCTCTAAACTATTGAACGAACTCTCGATTTGATTCTTATTATTTATTAATTTACTTCAAGTTGATCATTTTGTATAAAAATTAATTGATATGTCTTGTTATTAATGTGACACATGACCGTTAAATTATTGTTTCTCGCTGTTAAGTAATTGATACGTCAATTGTTCTTTGTATAGAATGATCAACTTGGAGCAAATTGGTAAACAACAAGGGATCAAATTGAAGGCCTGTACAATAATTTAAAGACCAAATTGAGGGTTTAATAAAAAATAAATGACTTATATTAAATAGAAGGAATACTCAATTCTAATAACCAAAGACTTTAATGACAATGTAATCAATTAAGTTGAATTTTGCAGCTTAAGAAATCAAATAAAATAACACATCTCAACTATAAAATATGCAACCATAAACTTTCAAAACTCGAAACTTCAATTTGTATCAAAGAATGGCTAGCACAAAAGAAGTTAGCATCTTGCTTCTCCTAATCCTGTATGGTATGTGTGTTTTTAATTCCATGTTCAAGAATTTTTGTTTTCTTCCGATTCCTAAATTCGTGCTTATAATTTCAAGTAGCATGCTATGATTAAGATGATGTTTCTGGGTGAGTGATTTTGTGTTGTTTGATGAGCAGCTGCAATTTGTACTCCGGAAAATGCTCAAGCCAAGCTCTGTCCTTCCATCTGCTTCCATGCTCAATATATGACTTGTGAGTCAAGTGGTGAGGAAAAGCTCGAACCAGCATGCAACTGCTGCTTCGCACCCCAAAACTGCACCCTTTACTTTGCTGATGGAACTTCACAAAACTGCAACTGAATTTGGAAATCATCATGTCAGTCAAATAATGTTTTCGTTCAGACTAGAGAACGAAAAGAGCCATGTAATTTCTCTTCTTCTCTATATGATCAATAAAAGAAATTATGTTCCAGAATACTTCATATGGTGCAACTGCCACTAGAATTCCTTCTTTTAATCGATAAACTCTGACAAATGGTCCTCATTTTTACTTGAATATGACCGTAGATCATCAGGTGAGAAGAGGCTTAAATCAATCCAAAAATTGCACCCTTTACCTTGCCGATAGGACTGCAGAAAACTGCAAGTGAATCAGATGGGAAGGATGGTCATTAAGCCCTGTAACTTGGAATCATCATCTCTAATAATGAGATTTTTGAGCAGAATAAGTACAAAATGAGAGTACGAGTTAAAGTTTTCATTCGGATCAATGAAAGAAAGATACAAAATGAGTGTGTATATATATATATGTATATATATGATACAACTGCAGCTATAATTCCATAATTTAATCACAATAATGAGTACAGGCAGGAAGCGGCTAACTCTACCAATTTTCAGGTGTGATTGAATAATTGCAGGAGCAGCCTCTATCGTAACAAGAAAGGATCTGCAACTGAATTTTATTATCTTGTTTCAGCCAATAACTAATGTACAACATGGTTCTTACAACAATTTGAGGATAGTTTACCGCTCAAGGTGTAGAAACAATGGTAAACTTAAGTTAGTAAGTATTGTACTCTGTAGGAATCACAGGAATTCCGCCTTCGAATCCCATCCACTCATCCCATTCATCAAACTCATCAAAAACCTTCACTGTTCTTGACTCATCTTCTTTAAGTTTAAGGTTTTGCAATAGGCACTACAAGAAGTAAATAAAAAAAACATCATACAAAGATAAAGAATAACAAATCTGCTAGGTTAAAAAAAGAGAGAAAACACTAAACCTAAGCCAATCATAGAAGAGGCAAACTGCAGAAAAGAGTCTAGAAGACTGAATCAAGAATCACTTTTTCTTTTTGATGGCACAATGAGAAAACTGCTTCTCAGTTGTTAGAGATGAAAGACCAGTTTTTGTCAAATATTTGAAGAAATACCGAGACACAACCAAGTAAACAGAACATCACATTGAATTACAGTCTCACAGATCATCTGCCTTAGTTCACAATTAGTCAAATGTTTTATATTCCAACAGATCAATTTACAAAAGACACAAGAATTAGATGGTCTATCTATTGCATTCAACTACTCTTTGCCTTCACTTCTCTCATTCTATCCAAGTAGTTTCCTCTACCATTGCCTACCACAATCAAAGAGCTAAAGTAATGACCACTAACATATTTTAATGCCAGTGCCTTCGCTTCCTTCATTCTATCATTAGACCATCTACACCAACAACAGTTGACCCAGTTGGTACCCACTAACTTAACCTTAATTTGAGGTTAAAATCAAAGGTTCAAACCTTTGTGCTGTCAAGCAACTAACCCTCTGATGTACCCAAAAAAAAAAGAAAAAATTATTAGACCATCTGCATGTTTGGAGCCTCGGAAATTCCTCATTTCCTTCTGACAATGTTATTAAGCAGAGTCACAATAATTCCAGAAAAAGAAAATGGAAAACAAGCAAGCAACTTTACTTCGTATGCAGATTTAATCTCCCTAAAAGCTTTATCCTTTCCAGGCACATCTTCCCCTTTATACACATCTGGATGATACTGCAAATCCCAAAATTTTAAAAAATGTCAAAAATATGTTCTTTTTTAAATATTGAAGAACCCAAATCAGAAAAAGGAGAAGGGGGAGACACCTTCAATGCTAGACGCTTGTAGGCTCGTTTAACATCAGATTTGGAGGCAAGTGGAGTGAGGCCCAGCACGGTGTACTGGGCGGTGAGATCATAGGAACATCTGACCGGAACTCTCAGGCACCGCCGCCGGGACCCTGGATTGTGATGCTGTTGGGTCCATCTCAATCTGAATCCGGCGCTTCCTTTTCCGATCATTATGGTTGTTGAGAATCTACGTAATGTCACGTTTCCCCTTTTGAGGGTAGCTGGTGCTGGTTCCTTCTCCACATCCCAGGTTCAGGTTCAAGCAAGGAATTTTTGGGTAGTTGGTATGCGACTGTTGAAATGTCAAACATAAACACACCAAGTTTTGGGTTAATAATGAAATTTGCTTAATAAAAAAGTAATATTTAGCCAACGAATTTAGCTTAGTGTAGTGGTCATCTAAAGGAAGCGATTTTAAAATTGTTTTTTTATTATATAATTAAAATAACAAAACGTATTGTTTTGTTCATTCTAATTGTATGGAATGGAATGCTAATGTAAAATTATAGGTTTATAATTAGAAGTAATAATGCAGCCAACGAAAACGTACGACACGACAAGTGATGTAAGGAAGTTAAATTGATAATTACATTACATACATAAATCTTGCATCACTTGTCATCTCTCATTTTCGTTTTGTATTTTCGTTTGCTAAATTATTACTCTTATAATTATAATATGATATTAAATAAATATAATATGCACCTGATCTTTGGGGTTAACTGGCAAATTGCCAATTTAAAATGCATTTCTCTTTCTTCATGGACAGAATTTGAAATGCATTTCTCTTTCTTCATGGACAGACTTCAAACACGTCCCTTCACAACTTGTTAAAAAAAAAATATAATATTAATTAATAAATATATAATATTATAAATAAAATATTAAAGAAACTAATTAATTATATAATAATATTATATTATAAATTTAAAATATCACGTAATATTACAATTATATCATTTTCGTTTTAATATTGGATTATTTCCTCATCCAATAGTTCCTCTTAAAGAACCAATTTTGGGATTAATAATGGTATATATGTAAGATTCGATACTCAACTGCATATTTTATATGGACGGTCAGAGCGATCTTGAATCTTTCATTAACTTGCAGGCAACTTATACCATGTGCTAATCCCTCAAACGATGTACATAAAATATAAATTTACAAACCAGTAGAGTCCAGACTAGGAAACAGTAATGTTTCTGTCACTTAAAATATAGCTCTATCTTTCTCCTCTTTGTTCTGGTGTTAGCCCTCCTTTTCCACAGTTAGGGCAGCTCTTGAGTCCGAATCCTTGGCAATCAAAGCATCTGAAGCAATTTACATTAGAACTAAGAAGACACATGATCTGAATTTGATAACAAACTACATCCATCATCAACACAGAAAACAACATAATTCTTCTATTTCATGAGCAGAACTTACTTCCATCTTTCGAAGATGTTCCCATTCTTTTTATTCTTCCCTGTTCCCTGTGGAGAAGAAACATTCTTTAGCTCACTGGAAAACTTTTTCATTCAAGTAGAAGACATGAAAAACAAAATTGGAAGCAGCATAAGGAAGGTTCAAGTGGGATGAGAATTTAGCTGGTAATGAAAAGGCTGCCACTTGTATCTGTACTTACCACCTGGGGAAAGAATTCACATTTTGTTCAACATTTCTAATCAATGATGTAACTTCTCGATTGTGCCTAGCATGAGAAATGATTTACAAACAAGCTAATTACCTTATCATATGTCCAAGTTATTGAGGGAATCTGGCTGGAAAAATCATGTAAATATTGTTGTTGCCCGACTGGTTTATGGTTGTAGACACTTACCTGTATTCTAAATATCATCTGTATCTCTAACAATTTAAACTTGGTGATTGGCCAAAAAAGAAAAAAAAAACTGGAGTAGCAGTCGTTACCCACATGAACAACAGATAGTTAAGGTCCAAAGTTCATATTTCTTCTCCTCTTATAGTCCAAATGTAATGAAAGAAGAATAGCTTGGGTTTATTTCCTGCTAGGGATTGACACACTGCACACCAAAAAATGACACTAGAGAGGGTAATATATCAAGCCATGCTCTATACACCACTTTGGATGAACTTCCCTTAGAGGTGGCAACGGGGGAAGTCATCAAGGTTAAGAAGGGGCTTCTCTTCTCAGACCAAAATACCATTATAAATACCTCTTCATAACTCAGGGTAAGGGTTGCACTCTATTTCTACTCTTAGTTCTGAGTAGGTCTCTTAAAAAAGACTGCTGATTTGATTGTTGAAGTAACCATCCTGAAAGTCACTCTGGCCAAATCATCTCAGTATACATCAAGCCTCTCTGGTAAGCAATACTGAGCTATACTGGCGCTTCAACCTGACCTATGTTTCAGGATAAATACCCACCTTAACAATTTGTCAAGTCATGGGCAAATACTGATGGGATACTCAAGTGTCAAGTGTATCATATATGTTTGACATGAGTACATTTTGGACAGTTTTATGGAATCAAGGGATCACCAACTAGCTTTATCATGGGACAGTCACCTTATAATTTCCCCTTTTAAGATTAAAAGCCTGAACCCTACATTATTATTTGCTGAAAGGACTCAATCAGATGACAGACTTCATATATTTATATATGGTAGTAAATTCCAATCATATATTGGAGAGGCTTTAAGGTTAAAATTAAAGATCAGACCTTGCATCCTGGACACTCTATTGCTCCTTTACCTCCACATGTTTGACATCGCTTCAAGATCTGCATAATGTAATGGCAAAAATGTTATATAAGTACAAATATTTGTAACAAAATATACCAGGTCTGATAATTTAGAACATGTATTGGTATCCCAATATTGCTCAACTATAAGTCCTTACTTACAGTGTCCTACAACTCCCTAAAATGCAGCACCTTTCCCATGAAAGTGTTCGAGTTTCATCACGGGCATCGCCAAATATCAAATCCTCCACACAAAATCAAGGCCTTTTAAGTTAATAAGCACCAACTCCACCAAAACTCTTGTGGGTGTCATCAATTTTTCTTCTTAAAGTATGTTTCTATTCTTTCTACATAAAATTTAAATGTTTGTACATTTAACAACACTAAAACGCCAAGAAAATTTTTTGTTTTGGGTTGGGATTTTAACCAGATATGCTTCAAAATTTCAGTTCTGCAATGGGAAAACATCAAAGTCCAAGCTTTATGATGGGATTCCCAGCTACAAACTAACTCTTCAACCAAGCTTGAAACTTTTTGCTTCCCAACCCATATAATTAAACCTGGGTTAAACTTTCCATAATTTATCTAAGAATCTTAAATTCAAGAAATTTTTTTTAAAAAAAAAAACATAAAAAGCAAGGATATATGCATAGTTTATATTCCAAAAGCCAAGACACAGGATAAAGAAAGGAACAACTTCACTTGAAGGGAAAAAAAAGAGAGAGTAAAGAATCATCAATTTCATACCGGGTTGAGGGAGAATCCACCAGATTTTGATGCAAAAACTGAAACAGTTCTGTGCCCTTGGTGCTTGCTGCAGTGAAGAGAAGAATGAGTGAATTGAGGAGTAGCCATGAAACAGCTGGTAGAGGCTGACAAATACCCCATTCTTTTCTCGTCTGGAAATGTTGAGTTCACTTGTTCTGGCTGTGGAATCTGTTTCACATATACCATCAGTCTGTCGCCAGAAATAAATCAGCATAAATGGCTAAATTCATTCTCTTCTTCTCCATCACTAGTTGTCTTTTTGGCGTCTAATATAATTTTTTCAATTTATTTTACAAAAAAGTATAGTATAATTTATATTGCCCTGAAATATATAATTTAAATTATTAAGCAAGAAGAATCGTTAATGATAAGATTGTTTATTTATTTATTTTTTTTATGATATTAAATTATTAATATTTGATAATTATATTAAATTTTAATTATTATTTTATTATTTATATATCTCAAATTTGATATTTTATTTAGAAAAAATCTAATTCCTTTGATCATTAGTAGTTGGTTGATTGTTTATTTATTTAATATTTCTTGTTTTGCACTTTAAGAAACATGGGGCAGCAAATGGGACACTTATGCTTTCCATTTTGGAAAAATTGCTTACGCCTCCTTTTACTTTTAATAATTGAGTTTAAATTTTTTAAGTTGCTAAACACTTAATTTTTATATGTATATAAAAAAAATAAAGTTTTTCTAAGCAGGCATAAATTAAAAGTAAATTTAATGTACTTTTTAATCATTGAGTTGCATTGAAAAAATAAAATGA